CTGATCTATTTCAACATCCAACAATTATTCATCATGCTCAACTCATTCAACAAACTATCAATATCATCCACACTCTGAATGATTATCCGTGGTCTTCCTTACATATCATGCAAGGTAAACAAAATAGCTTGTACTTGAGATTATCATAAACTAACATATTTATCTTTTTTTTCTCATTTGTAGCGAGGGCATCATTTGCACAAGAACGAATCTATGTAGATGAACAAATTCGTTTTTCATCCAACAAAGCAATGAAGAATATGTATGTTATTCCATTACTTTATCGAATATCATCTATAAATGATCATATATCAATTACTCGATTACATCATGCATTTCAAAGTGTTATCACAAAACATGATATTCTTCGAACCGCACTTTATATTGATGATACCAGTGGTAATATTATTCAACTTTGTTTAAATACAAATATCATTCTGGATGGTGATATCAAATCAAATGGATTAACAGTCGTTAATATTCATAATGATGATTATCGTCACATGAATGAAATGGTCAAAGAAATATTAAATCAATCTACTTTATTTGATTTATCAAAAGGACGTGTTATTAATTGTCATATTCTTCGTCATTGTGGTTATTCTCAAGATAGTATCCCATATGAGAATGATGACGATCTATTGACTAAAGATGACCTTATATTATTTACCATTCATCATGCTTGTTTTGATGGAGCATCAACATCAATCTTCGTTCGTGATCTTTCTCTTGCTTACCAATCTAATGACTTGTTTCCTATAAATGACAATTCATTACAATATATTGACTATTCTGTTCATGAACACATACTGGATATGATATTATCTCAAGACTTTTGGCAATTAGAACTCAAAGGATATAATCTTGCACGCAAGTCATCACTACCAGTTGATCGACAACGTTCATCAACTAATCAACAACGATCAGGTGTAGCATCCATAGCTCAAATCACTCTCGATAATGAATTATGCACATCATTTCTAAACTATGCATCATCACATCATCTCACACTTTTTCAACTTGGATTATCCGTGTTTTATGTTTTCTTATTTAAATTAACTCATGGTCAAATTGATCTATGTATTAGTTCTATTAATGCTAATCGATATCGAAATGAATTACAAAATCTAATTGGAATGTTTGTTTCAACATTGCCATATCGCTTAGAAATTGATCCTAGTTGGTCATTTGATGAAGTAGTTAAACATGTACAAGAAAAATGTTTATCAATTCTTGAACATTCTCATTATCCACTTCAACATATTCTTGCTGATTTCCATGTCACTCAGTCGAATGTATCATTTCTTGAAACAATGTTTGATTTCATCACTGTATCAGAAGATGTTAGTAGATTATGTTTGAATGGTGTCAGTCTAGAACAAGTATCGTTAAATGATTTATATGAAACGGCTAAATTTGACTTCTCGCTGACATTGCTATACAATCCAACATCAGATGATAATCAGCTGTCTTGTTCTTTTGTTTGTTCATGTGAACTGTTTGATAAAATAACGGTGACACAAATTATTCATCGATTTCAATATGTTTTCGAGCAGATTTTTGATAGCAAACCAAGGAACAGCTTGATGAAAGGACGCGATGTATTGATCAACGAGCTTTCTCTTGTTTTACATGAAGAAAGTCAAGAAATACACACAGCAGCGTTTCATAAACTGGAAAATGTTGCCAATGAAGGTATACCCATTTTTAAAATGTTTTTTTTATTATTATCATATAACACTTATATTGATGGAAAAGATTAGCGTTAAGGAAACATACGACGAAACAGCATGATTTTTTTGTTGTAACTATACGATTTTCTGCTTCTTTATTGAATTGAAAATGTGAATAAGTCACACCTTATTATTACGATGATTATGTAAAATTAGGCGTCTCATCCTTTTTCGTTCATCCATTTGTAGTAAGCCTTTTACTCTTGCACATATATATGATGGCAAGATTATCTGAAAAGCTAGCTGAATGTCAGATCTAGGTCTCACTTTTCAAATTTTCTTTATACTTCTTTTCTAAAAAGTTTAGTGTTCTAATCTTGAATAATATATGTACCATGCATTGCACACACTGGTGTATACTGATGAGAACTCGATTAAATGAGATAATAGGATATTCGTCAAAACTTTTCGTAGTAAATGTATTCTCATATTGTTTTGAAACTTTATTACTAGTCATTTTTGGGAATTACTGTTAGTTTTGACGCGATTCTTAATAAATGATATGTTTAAACCTAAAATTGTTAACTTATGCAAGTGAAAACAATATTAACTCTATTCAGCTAAGAAGTAGATCAGCTAAGCAGACAATAATATAATAAAACAGCAATTGATTATCATGACTACTCGCTATAATCAACTAAACTTTAATTTTTATAGCACCAGCATCCTTTGCACAATACCGAATATGGTCAGAAAATCAAAGAGACGTCGATACTGATCAACCATCTTTAACGACCCATAATATGCCTTTTTTCTATCGCCTCTACACAGGTGATGTTTTATCCGTAAAACAACTTCGTCACGCTCTTCAACTCATTGTTAACAAACATGAATCACTTCATACATCACTCATCTACGATTCTAATAAAAATCTACTCATGCAGAGAGTTCTTACTCAACAACATATCAACAATGACATGTTTATAATGACTGAGAGCACTTATGAAACAGATGAACAACTCAGTGGTATCATACATGAAGAGAAATACAATCCTCAACTTTTCGATCTCACGCAAGGTTTTGTCTTTCGATGTCATATTATTTACTACAAACAAATCTCTTCAAATAACATCCTTCGTGATAAAGATATAATTATCTTCAACTTTCATCATGCTTTCTTTGATTATCCATCAATGAATATATTTCTTCATGATCTCAATCAAGCTTACCAAACAGGTCAACTAACAGCTGATAACAATACTACTCTACGTTATATCGATTGTAAGTTTATTCAATTCCTCGTTCTATTCAAACTGCTTTTTCTTTCTTCTTATTTAGATGTTCTTATTGAACAACAAATGTCCATGACTAGTGCAAATATGTATTGGCTTGACACTTTGCATGATTGTCATCTGGATAAATCTTTATCATTACCATTTGATCGATATCGTCTCTCAAATGAACATCGAACTGGTCATACAACGTCTGTCTCTTTTAATTTTGATCAAGATCTCTCACATCATTTTCTCACGTATGTATCATCAAACAATATCAAACATGAACATCTAGCACTTACTACTTACTTTATCTTCTTATTTAAAATAACGAATGGTGAAAAAGATTTATTTATTGCAAAGAACATTGATAATCGTTATAGAGATGAACTAAGATCTATAATTGGTTTATTTGAAAATATCATCCCATTACGGTGTCGATTAGATCCTTATTGGTCTTTCCACCAACTACTTGAGCACGTAGGCGAGACAACAACAAAGAGTATGAAATATTCATATTTTCCTCTTCAACGTATTCTCAATCGACATCCAAATATTTCAAAACCTACATTTCTTAATATATCATTTCAATTTCTATCATCTATGATAACAATGGACAATAAACTGATAATGATTGGTGATAGCCAACTTTCTTCCATACCTACAACAATGAACATTAATGATTTCTCACTTCAAATTCAACATGATCTCAATATCAATCAACTCGCATGCACAATCAATGCATCACTTGACTTATTCAATGTAGAAACAGTTGACAAGATATTTCAACGATTTCATTCAATGTTAAATCAATTATTTACATCTGTTGATGATCAAATGAATAAACCAATCTATGAAATATCATTAACATTACCAAACGAAAGATTACTTATACAGTTAGTGAAAAACACACAAGTATCATTTTCATCTCCTGTCACTTGTATTCATCATGAATTTGTTTGTCAAGTAGTGAAATATCCACAGAAACTAGCTGTTGAACTCGATGATCAATCATTAACATATTGTGAACTCTTACATTACGTTCAAGTCTTATCTTTTACTCTTCTTAATGAGTATCATGTGTTTCCAGGTGAGATCGTGTGTCAATGTGTTGAGCGAAGCTTATCAATGGTAAGTTGAATAAGATGAGGAACAATTAATATGAGTTTGGGATTGATTTTGATTAGGTGATTGGTATTATGGGAATTGAAATGGCAGGTGGTGTTTATTGTCCATTATCACCTCGAGATCCACAACATCGTT